TCTCTCTCTCTCTCTCACTCTCGCTCTGTCTTTGGTCGTGGCCGTGGCCTAATGTGGCGCCTAGCGATAATTCAAAACGCAGCAGGAGCTCGCTCGTTGCGCCGGCGACGGACAACAGTGACAACAACAAGTGCGGCCGCAACCGCCGTCCTGGCGCCGGTTCGCTCATAAAACGAAAGAAAGAACAAAATCTGTGCCCAGATTTGACAATGCTGCGARACGAAGATGCCGACATGCSCTGGTCTCTGGGACATAGGGCTCAGCTTGGCTGTCTACCTGCGTTTTCACACGTTTGCCCACAATGGATCGCTTTGTTGGCCCTCGTCGAGTATCTTATGCATATTTTCTGATAGCTACCGACTACCGATCGCTGTCCGCTCGAAATTAACATAATTATGAGTTGACCAGTTTGCGTGTGTGTGTCTCTGTGTCTGTCTCTGCGTGTGTGTGCGTGGGGAGTAGATGCAGTGTGTCCACTTTCTCGGCTCATTAGGCATGCATTGACTGCTCGTAGCGCCACATTTGGAAGCCGTTAAGCTGCATGCCCGACAGATCAGATCTCAAATAATTGTTTGGCGCCATGCGCCGCGCTCCCTGCAATTAATCATAAGAAACTCAATAGAAGAACGAAAGCGTGCATTGTTTTGAGTCCGATATACCCGGTTTTRGGTATTTGTTTTCSTTACGTTACGTTTTAAATCGGTGCAGCGCTCGGTCGCTYGATCGCTCGCTCTCTGCCTGCTTCGCTGCTGTCCGCTGTTCATAATTACACACTTGTTAGGCTGGGCCACAAATCAAAGTGCCAGGCAACGCCTTCTTTGCGCTTAGAAAGAGGAGAGAACCTTGATTTATGTGACTACCTCAAACAAATACTGCTCACCTGAAAATGCATACCTATTGTGCCTTGGTCCACTTAATCAACTTCTATTATTGTGGTTCCCTTGCAGACGCATGTTTCCCTCGATGCGCGTCTCGCTGAGCGGTTTGGAGGAGGACACCAGCTACTGCGTCCTGCTCGAAATGGTGCCCATNGCCGCAGTCAGCGTAGGCGTCTGCCCAGTCAGCCAATCAGGTTGCGCCGCCACTCAAACCGGTCGAGCAGGTAGCTGCTGCTGCAGGGCTCTGGAACTGGAACCGGCTACGACGCGCACGCAGCTAAGCAACCGCTTCGCTCAGCTCAAGATCAGTTGGTTGCGAAACGTCGTGCGTGCAAGAACCCCGAACGTAGCGCTAAAGAAATACCCATTAGAAGTAAAGACAAGTCCAGCAAGTGAAGTCTATTTGTAGTGAAGTGAAGTGCTCTGTTTAATTAATATTTGCAACATGTTGTCCATGCACGAGTTGATGGATATGCAAATGCAACAGCAGTTGGCCCATGAGATATACCGTCAGCAGATCATGCAACGCATTCCAGGTAAGTTGGCAATAGCTGAGTAGAAGGGTTAATCAACTGCCGACGGTAAAGGCTGAAGATGAAGAGCCCTAAAAGCAAAAGTGAACTATAAAATATGATATTTTGTTCAGAGTCCTATCCTCTATATGCAAATTTATTATCATAGGTTAAAGTAATCTATCAAAAATGATATTTTATTCATTTAAATGCATATTCATATGTTTTATTAGGAATAATATTCTCTAACTGCGAAATGCAAACTAATGCATATATTTTGTAAAACTAATGTATATATTTACACTAAGGCATTTTAATAAATTTACAATTCGCTCGAATATTTAACTGCTTCACATACATGCTAATAAATATATAGAGACTTTTTCAATTCGGTTCAGACATAATTTATCTTCTGCATAAATCGATAAACAATTTTAGAACAAGTCGACAGCCAGCTAACGAACTAACCAAACAACTTCTAAGCAACACACGCTCATCACACACATATATATTGAATTCTAACCCACAGATCCCTTTCCGGCGATGTTGCCCCTGCACATGGCACAGCCGCAGCAAATTATGATGCCCAGACGGCCGACGCTGCCGGGCGTGGAGGCCAAGTTGGAGAACAACGAATTGTGGCAGCAGTTCCATCAGATCGGCACCGAAATGATCATCACCAAGAGCGGCAGGTAAGATTCCCAAGAATTGTGCCA